TGGGACAAGATTGATAAGGGGGGGGGGGGCATGTTCCAGACGGCCTCCGCGCCAGATGGGCGGCCGCGAGCGTCCGCAGCGGGCACCGTGCCACCACCCCCCGCCCCCGAGAGAGTCCTGGTCGGATCGGTGGGCAGAGGCGTAGATCGATGTAAGATGGGGGGACAGAGAGAGAGAGAGAGGGAGAGAGAGGGATAGAGAGAGAGAGAGAGAGAGAAAGAAATAAAGGGGTGGAGGCGTGGGGGAGCACGTCGTGGTCTGATCTTCTGGGCCGGCGTTCGGGGTGGTGCGCATGGTCTCGCTCAAGAAGCCACTCCGAACGCCCGCCCACAACATCAGACCACGGCATGCTCCCCCATGCCTCCACCCTTCTCTCTCTCTTTCTCCCCCTCTTGCCTCGATCTACGCCTCTTTCAACACTCTGCTTGTTGCGGTTCTCTTAGAGAACAATACATGAACAAACAGCGGACGCGTGTTTGCCTCAGTGCGCTGGAGGGTCCGAACTTCCGTTGTGACGGGGTGAGGCGTGCAAGAAAGGACAGTTGCCTGACCCCCCCCCCTCACACGCAGCACAGCCCGGCCGCGAACATCGGGGTGCTCGGCCACACTGTCCCCAGAAGAGGGGGCGGGGAAACGGTAAGTGCCATCTGCGGGATTTCGTCTTCGGTCGCAGATCATGGGAGCCTTGTTTGTCCTCGGACTTCCGTCTTTAGAGCGCACTGGCGTCTATCTATCTGTGTCTGATGGATGAGACAGCGCCGACGTGGCGTCGATTCGGCGTCGATGTAGCGTCGACTCGCGTCGATTCACTCTCGAGCACCGCCGATTAGCGTCGATTCGCAAGAGCCACCAAGATGGTATGGGAGACTCCCATGAGATATCCATGAGCAGATGGTTCACAGTGTCGGGCGGAGGACGGTCGATTGCAGACTAACATCAGGAGGGGAAAAAACACACAGACACAATTAATCCTCGATTCCCCACAGAATATGGGAAAATATGGGAAGTGGGGGGGAAGACAAAAACCCAGAACATATGAGAAAATATGGGTAATCTTTTTATTTGTGTGTATTTATTTGTGTGTCCTGGGGCCCCTTCAATGCGGGCGGACGGATGCGTAGGTGAACGGGCGAGTCTGGCAGCAAATTCTTTGCGCTTCGCGTATCCCCACCAGCCCATCTCACAGCAGCAACTCTTGCGAAGCATGCCGACAGTCGTGTTTTTCAGGCGTGTGTCCGCTTGCCCCCGCATATCTCCCCTGTTCCTCCTTCCTCCCGCCTCCTTGTACATCCTCCTTGTGGGGGGAGCGGGAGAAGGACGAGGCGGAGGAGGAGGGAGAGAAAGCGCTCCTCCTGATTTGAGTCGTTTGGGGTTTCTCGTCCGGGTGTGAGTCGTTCGGGCCCTTCTTCCTGGTGTGAGTCGTTCGGGCTCTTCGTGGTGTGAGTCGTTCGGGCTCTTCGTCCTGGTGTGAGTCGTTCGGGCTTCTCGTGGTGTGAGTTGTTCGGGCCCCTCGTCCTGGTGTGAGTCGTTCGGGCCCCTCCTCGTGGTGTGAGTCGTTCGGGCCCTCGTGGTGTGAGTCGTTCGGGGCCCTCGTCCTGGTGTGAGTCGTTCGGGCTCCTCGTGGTGTGAGTCGTTCGGGCGCCTCGTCCTGGTGTGAGTCGTTCGGGCCCCTCCTTGTGGTGTGAGTCGTTCGGGCTCTTCGTGGTGTGAGTCGTTCGGGCTCCTCGTCCTGGTGTGAGTCGTTCGGGCTCCTCGTGGGGCCTCTTGGGGGCCTCTTGGAGCCTCTTGGGGCCTCTTGGGGGCCTCTTGGGGGCCTCTTGGGGGCCTCTTGGAGCCTCTTGGGGTCCTCTTGGGGGCCTCTTGGAGACATCTTGGGGGCCCTGCGTGGGGCCTCTGGGGGCCTCTTGGGGGCCTCTTGGGGGCCTCTTGGGGGTCTCTTGGGGCCTCTTGGGGGCCTCTTGGGGGTCTCTTGGAGGCCTCTTGGGAGGCTCCTGGGGGCCTCTTGGGGCCATCTTGGGGCTTCTTGCGACCTCCTCAGAAGCGCAAAGGAGCGCTGCCCCCTGAGAAGGACAAAATGAGCCCAAAACCTTCGTAAAATCAATGATTCTGCGATGAAGGAAGATGAGCGCGGCCCCCTCAGGAGGCCAAAATGGGGCCAAAACCGTAGTAAAATCAATGATTTTGGCTTCAAAGAAGAGGAGAGGGACCTATCTCCGCCCCCCCGTCGGGCCCAGAATCCTCGTGAGGGTCGTCGTTTTTTAGCCCTCCCAGGAGTCGGAAACGACCCCTCCAACGACCCGCGAAACCCCCTCTCCAGGTCCAGGGGGAGGGGGTAGGGGGAGGGGTAACCCCTCCCCGAAGGGGAAGAAGGGGGGTTGAGAACAGAGAGAGCTCCCTAAACCACTCACGCCCAAAGGGCTGGTGGGGTAGCACTAGCAGTAGCAGTACCAGTAGCAGTGGCAGTAGCGGTAGCCGTCGTCGTAGAAGTAGTAGTGTAGTACTAGTAGTAACAATGGTAGCGGTAGTGGCAGTAGAGGTAGTAGTAGTAGTAGTAGTAGTAGTAGTAGTAGTAGTAGTAGTAGTAGTAGTAGTAGTAGTAGCAGCAGTAGTAGTAGTAGTAGTAGTAGTAGTA